CCCAGATGCTAGTGTGGTAGGTGGGGTGGGACATGCTGACAGTTTGGAGTTCTCACCAGCTCCCAGGTGATGCTGATGGTCTGTGGCCCCACCCCCCCCCCAATCACTGATTCACTGGCCAAATAGCCATTCTGATTTCCAAGTATCTCAGGGGATGGAGAAATGCCATTGAAAATATTTCTGAACACTGTAATAGAAAAATCAGAAATATGTGAGACCAGAAAGACAGAAGACAGTTTAGATAAACCCTCCAGGAACCCTTTCCCTTCCTCCCCTCACTTCCTGTTCACGTGCATATTAATGACCAGTGTGCATGTGCAGGAGTCTCCCATAACATTGTAAATGGACTTGACTTAGCCAGAGACTTGGCAGGGATCAAACAGGAAGCAGTTGTCCTTCTGCATAGCCCACCCTGCCTTTCTCTACCTCTTCACCCCTTATATATGTGCATTTCCCATAAGGCAGAGAGAAGGTGTGAAAGGGCGGAGGGGAGGAGGGGAGAGATGCTGAGGTCTCCAGCTCTAGCGGGGCTGGGGTGGGTTTGAACCTGCCAGCCTCACTGTATGTGGCCAGTGCCCTAACCCACTGAGCTATGGGCACTGCCTAGGTTTGTAGTCTTGATCCCCTTACCGGCCTCTGGGACCCTCTGTGTCTCCACCTGGGAGAGGTGAGTGGGGCGCTCATGGCACCACCTCTGAGTGGCTGTGGAGCTGACACTGATCAGTCACGTCTTTACCCAGCACCGCCCTGGTGTGTTGTCAGTGCTTTTCAGTGCTTGTCCCCTCCCTCCTCGTCCTCGTTAGGAGTCCAGGTCGTCCCTGGAGGGCCTTTCTGTCCAGGAAGATGGACCTGCAGCTCTTCTTTCCTTTGCCTCTAAGCAGACAACGGTGATGACCACTCGGAAGGAGGCCTGGTCGAGAACCACGTGGACGGGACCATGAACATGCTGGGGGGTGGAGGCAGCGCTGGCCGGAAGCCCCTCAAGTCCGGCATGAAGGAGCTAGCCGTGTTCCGGGAGAAGGTCACGGAGCAGCACCGGCAGATGGGCAAGGGCGGCAAGCACCACCTCGGCCTGGAGGAGCCCAAGAAGCTGCGGCCACCACCAACATCCTTCTACCAGTTCTCTGAAGTCAGAACTGTTATTATTAAACAATTTACAGTTCAGGAAGCAGAGGCACAGAAAGGTTGGAAGTATGCAAGAGAAACACAAGTGGTATAGAAACTGGCTGACAAGGATTTTAACCCAAGTGTGGCCCCTTAACCAGGCTCTACCCTGAAGTTGACATGCCAAGTTCTAAAGGGACGCCGCTGTGTGGCTCGTGAGGACGGGCAGATACCAGACCTGGGGGAGGGCAAGGGTGGTGCAAAGCTGTATTGGATGCTTCTGCCTGTGGGGGCTGTGCTGGCCACTGCTTGATAGCAGATACTGCTCTGGGGCCACCTCAGGTGTCTACCTGGCCCGGAAGTGGGGCTCCCTCCCTTAGTTGAAGTAGGGCATGTGTCAGCAAAGCGGGCCCACGGATTTCCTCATCTCATTGGTGTGTTCATTGGCAGTGGTGAGATCGATAAAGTCATGGAATGA